ATGCCCACAGCAAGTACTTTAGGTTAGAGACAGCCCTGACCCTTTCAGTGTGAGTCTGACTTGAGGGCCTGATGAAGGCAGAGAGGCTTTTTAACCCCAAAGCAGCACGAATCATTACTGCCTTGCTCTGGCTACCAGGAAACATCAAATGCCCAGAGGCCTTGGTTTTCCCACCCTGGCCTGGCACATTTACACCAGCCAAAGGCAACAGCACTACTGGCACATCCCAAAAGCTAGCCCAGCACTTGTGAGGTGGGGAATAGGGCAGTGGAGGGGCAGGGTTCCCTCCCTCTTCCCAGACATGCACTTGCATGGCCAGTGACATCCTCAGGGCTGTTCTTCAGGCCATGGCCCTGACACTGCAGCTGGCTGAGGGCTGCAGAGGGCTGGTTTGAGTGCTGGACTGAGGTACTGTGAGGGCAGCTCTGAATGCAAAAAGCAGAACAATATGAAACCTTAAGAGACAAAACCTCAGCTGCTGCTCAACCATCTCAATGGCCACTACAAAAATGTCTGTTCCATCATTTAAGTCCTGCAACTATTTCTGCCTGTGCCAGCAGGCTCACAGAGCCTAGCTGCTTTTATTTTGTGTTGGGAACATCAGCACTATGTTTTGACCTTTATCCTTAAGTTCCCATGGACTACTTCAGAGGAGAAACCATACTAAAACTGAGCACCCCTGACAATTTGTACATCCTTAGGTAAAGACTCAAAATCCAGAAGTTGTCCGTCTCTCTTAACTCCTCATCTTCTACTCCATATTTCAAATATATTAGAATGGGGATCTTTTCATCATGGCAAGTGTCTTCAAAAATCAAGCATCTATCACAGTAATGGCCTGGTCCATCCTTGCATTCAGGTAATCACATGTCAGCTACAGATGCCAGCCCCTCCTAAGCACAGTGGAGGCACCCTACAAGAAGTGACATAAGCATGCTGTGACTGTCAGATAATTTGCAAGTCAGCACCATTAGCTCCTGCCAGAAGACATGTCAAGGTGACAGCACAGCTGTTGGGCTGTTGAGGTGTTCACCAAACCTCCACAGTCAGGAACACTACGTCCAATCCCAGGCAAAGCTTGGTTTGCTGCTTCCTCCACACCTGCACTGATGGCTTCATAGGACAGCTTGCACCCACTGCTTGGGAGTGGTGACTTTGCTCTCCAGTTGTCACCATGAGGGCACAAGGTGGGCAAAGGAAACATCTTGTTTAGGGCACTCCTTGAAGAAGGCATCTGCATTTTTGCAGCACAACAGAGCTTTCATGAAAGGCTCCTGTGTATTTTTAAGTTTAACAAATATGTTCATGTCCTACACAAATATGTTTGAAACAAATGTTAGAATCAGTAATGGAATTCAAGGTTTGGGTTTTGTTCTTCTGGTTGCAGATTTACTTTGATTCCCCATGACTGTAGCAACTGGATCTACAGTTACAGTTATTAGAGGAGAAGGGAATTCACTCTCTGTGAACACAGCAAAAGGAGCTCAGTGAATCCAGCTTCAGGCTGTGAGTGAGTCAAGAGCACCACCTCGTGGTTTTCCCTTTCCAGAACCGATTTCATTTTGAAAAATCTCTATACTACAGCATAATTTCCTCAAAAGGAAAGTCCTTGGCTTAGAGAGGTGGGAAAAGAATTCTCATTTAGAATCCTAATCTAGATTCCTTCTTTTTAAAGTTTCTAAGGCGGGAGAGACTTTATATTTTAAGGCTAAATATACAGCATTTTTTGAGGGTGATCACTGACACAACTATGACATAAACACTTTAAAAAAACAAAACAAAAAAAAAGTCCACCATTCAACATGCTAAAATTTTGCCTACCTTCCGTGAAAGTTTTAGCTAGGGAGAACATATCTGGCACATGTTGCAGTTTTGCCACACGTTAGAAATCAGGCTCCGAGGTGACCAGCTCGGCTAAGGTGCCAAAGAATCAAAAGAATTCTTTTGATTCTTCACAAAGGCTTCTGCTGGAGGATACATTAAACTGATAAGTGCATCCAAACTTGTCCCTGTTTATCTAAGTGACTCAATCATCACTATCAGGCACCTCTCTTCAGCTTTTCTCCTTGCTGTGATGAGAGCTGAAATTGCCTTTAATGACATAAAGCAGCTCCTTGGGTTTTTCAGGACAGCATCATAAGTACAAGAAAGAAAAGCTTAAAAATGCAGATATTAAATATTGATTTCAGAAAGTCCTAAATGCCTACGTTTGTCTGTCTCCCAGCTAGCATTAGTATGAAGGAATAATCTGTCTTCACAGTTGTTCAAGCTGGGGGAAACAGCTGCTAGACACAGCAATTTACACAGCAGAAGAACGTCCCACCCTTCCTCACCATGCAGAGCCATTGCTAGAGATAAGTAAGTCACTGGAAGAAATCTGTACTTGCACCGGGAGACTCTGGCAGCCTGCAGGTATTTATCACCCTCTGTAGATCTGAAAGGCGTATGCAGTTTGGGTAAGCAGCTTATCACATTCCTGCAAAGTCACTGGGGCTGCCAACTGCTGAGTTTGAAAGTGCTTTTTGACAACAGCTGCAGTACCTGAGGAGTACTGATCTCCATATGGCAATTGCGCTCCTGCCCTGGTATGACTCACAGCGATTGCATATCAAAGGCAGGTCCGAGATAGCTCAGCAGGCATCCACAACAATCTGCATCTACGACTTTCACACCTCCGGCACACAAATCACTCTCCTCAGTGCTCCTTGGGGCACCTACTAGTAGTAACACCCATCATCCTCACCCTCTGAGGACCTGCTTTCTCCAGCAGCAGATGCTAGCATGCCTGGGTGGGGACTGATTGTCCATCTTCTTTTTCTGCAGCTCACCATTCACTGAAACTATTTACGAGGAGACCAAACATCCTGCGACTTCCAGGAAGATGCATGGTTTCATTCAGGCTCCATGCTCAGTGTTATTGGGCAAGGTTTGAAATGCTGGACAGGGTTATGATAAAGAAATAGCTGTGCCACCCTAACAGATCCTACGCATCAAAAAATTGTAAGTGTTGATTACAGATCAAGGTCATGAAGATGTCACTCGCCTGTTTGAAGGCTGCAATCTTGAATGTCTATTCTGATTAAAGCTGGCAGGCAAGGATCTGAGGATCACATAAATCAAAAAGGGTTGGGCAAGTGAAAACAGCCACAATGGTTTGCAGCACATCCATTACATTTTGGCCAAAGCTTCATTAAGAAAAATAATTTGACCTTTCCAACAAGATTTCAGGTATAAGGTAGTTGCTCCTTATCACTTAGAAGATAGTGAAAAACGTTTATTTCTCTCTAATCTGGAGGTAACAAGGAATTTTTCTCAAAATTCTTCATGAACAGATAAATTTCTATGGCTAAAAATGAAATAAAAAGGAAGAAAAAGAGCAGCTCTTCTTTACCCAGTGTACAAATTGTACACAAATAGAAAGTGCATTTTTCCTTTAGAAAGCTCAAAAATATGAAAAGGTAAACTTGATTTACCACATTCAGTTTGAAAACACACAATTTTAATTCAAGATGTATCCTACAGTGCAACACCAGTCTAAGAGTGAATGCCTGTGCATATTTCTTAAAACTTCTATAGGAAAAAATTTCTGTTCAGATCACATTATCTGCATTCTTCAGGACACAGGAATTTCAGTGGACACAGATGAGAATTTTAACAAATTTTTCTTGTAAGATTTCTTATCTGTGTGTGCTCAGCCTAAGACTTGCTGTGGTATCAAGATGGTATCATATGTATGTATCAATATGGTAATGTCTAAATACCAGAATAAAGGATAATAGGACTACAGATTCATAGAATGGTGTGGGTTGGAAGGGACCTTAAAGATGAGCTAGCTTCAAGTCCCCTGCTGCAGACAGAGACACTTTTCATTAGACCAGGTTGTTCAGAGCTCCATAAACACTTCCAGAGTTGGGCATCCAGTTTCTCTAGGAAACCTGTTTCAGTGTCTCACCACTCTCACAGTAAAGAATTTTTCCTAATATCTAATCTAAACCTACTTTCTCCTAACTTTGAAGGCATTCCCACTTGTCCTGTCACTACACACATTATAGTTCAAGAAGGGCTACAGTGCAGTGCTCCCAGTCTGTTTTTACTTACCTAAGAGGGAAAAAAACACCCCAGATAATTCCACAAAATTATTAGTCTTATATCTTGAAAGCTTGCCTTTCTTTACTGTGGGATCAGGAATATTTTGCTGACAGTGAGCTAGTTTGGCAACAGCAGCATAAATCCAGCCAAAAGAAAAATTTCCATTGAAATGAAAAGGAAGTGCTGGGACTATTGACACTATAAGCAATTGCTGATAAGAGCCTTTAGGGAAGATGCAGGAATACAGCATGACAATGGATTCAGTACACTGTTTTGCACAAATCCAGGAGGACTTGCTCCTTGTTGAATCAACAATTTAAAGAAGCACATACTAGAAAACCTGCAAAAAGAGCATGAGAAGCACTTAGGATGATAAATAGGAAGGCAGATTTACCAACCAACTTGTTGAGAATAATCATTTATTTTCACATTTACAAGACAAATATGAATAATATTTACAAATATATACAAATATTAAAATTAGCTTGTGTATTCAAAAAAAAGTCAAAGTATTTTTTAGCAGTATAGCCAACATACAGTACTTTTTTTTTGAACTTAGAAAAGGTTCAAGAAATGAAAGAAGAAATGAAGAGAAATTTCAGATTCACATAAGAGAAGCCATCAGAGAATATAGTATTATGAATGTCCACATTTTAAAATCAAAGGCAGAGCTTTGAAAAACCATAAAATAAAGTCTCCCTCGTATTTTCACATTAAAAGGGGCTTCACTCACCTCACTCAACAGCACTAGAAATGCTTTTAAAACCTTTCTGAGCAGGATGATTAAATAGTAGGAATAAAGATGATTGAATAATAGTACAGAGGAATAACAGAATTAACCATTTTTATGTATATGGAATAACAGAAAGCATTCTCTTTGCAGATGGCTAAAAAAACACTTTTATGGGACATTTGCCAATTTGTACTGGGGGGATGGATCACAATCTCTTTAGATTCTGTTTGCTTTTCTTAGTCCCAGGAAGCGGCCCTGGTGTGGAGCTGTGTTTCACTGGTTTGCTGCTCACACAGTCACTGGAGCTGTGGTAGCTGCACATGCACTTGGTGCAGAAGTCAAAGCCACAGCTTTCACGATTGCACGTTGCTCTTTGGAGGTAGGAGTCATACTTGGCAGGTGAGCCACAGCGATGGCAGGCTTTAAGGCTTTCAGTGTTCTTCAAGTTCCTGGCAGCCTGTTGGAAAAAGCACACGCAGAAAGTCATGAGTAGAGGGTAAATACACTCTCCAAACACTTCATGATATTATCTTAGTGCCACAAAACATATTATAACACCTCCTAATGTAAGGAGACAAACTAAAAACTAGCCTAATTCTTGTTGCATCAAATTCTGATGGAGTTTAGAACAGGAATAATCAGGATGTAATTGCAGGTATTTTGAATTGGAATAGAGGCAGCCAATTAAAAATTCTTAAAATTTAAAAGTTAAAGGACAGGCTAAATCAAGAGCAGCAAGGATAATGGCCTTCCTGAATCTTCCAAACCTCATTCAAGGATGGTGATGTAGTTGTGTATAGATGCAGATATTAGGAATTGAATTTTAAGACTGCTACTGAACAGTTGTTCTTTTACATTCCTAATGCTACAAAGTCTTATATAGTAGTATTATACCATCTTGATTAAACTTTCCAGTGACCTTTCATCTTCTCTTATTGCATAAATTTGCAGAATAAGACTTGAGCATAAAACCTTTTTCTAGTTAGAAAAATATTTTGTTTAGTAACAAGCAATAACTTTCAATAAGTATTTTTAAAAGTCTTATAAGATACAGATGCAGGTCTACATTGCAAGTATGTGGGAAAAAAAACAGCTCAAGAAAGGTAAAGGGGAAACAGGTTATTGGCAGTTATTGACAAATGTGTGACACACTATAAATAAATAGTTAAAGTAATTTTAATGCCAGATGCACAAAATACTCCACAGAATGATTAAAAGAATTATGCATTGCTAATTTTTTTAAAAATTGAAACTAAGAACTATTAAGTCTTTTTCTTTTTTTTTTTTTTTTCCTAATTGTCCATCCAGTTTTGAAGCAAAGTTGACAGTTTTTGTGATATTGCTTATCTGGAAAACATGTGACTCATTATAAACCCATGGAAAATAACAGGAAATTACTAAATTTCTTCATACCTGATGAGAAAAAATTTAAGCAAAAAAAATTCACTAAGTGAAATTCTTAAGGAAAAAAAAGGATGTAGGACATCCCAGTATGTCAGTATCCTCTCCACTTAGCTTCTGACATTGTCTTAAAATAGGCACACTAAGCAAAAGCTGTCAGCCATATTAATAACAATTACAAACACTTGAAACTGGAGATGCTACTTTCAAAAATATGCTTTACAAGGTGATTGTTTGCCAGACAGCATGAGAGAAATTAAAGATCAGTGGAAATCACCACTTACCTCAGAAAACTCTGTGAGCCTGCTGTGATTCCTAGATGCTTTGGATTTGGTGCTTTTTTTGTTCGAGTGTTTTGGTGGGGTTGCTTTCTGAATGGAAGCTAAGGACACTCTGTAGAGAACGTACTCTCTTGTTGCAGCATGCTCTGGTGCCTTAGTGACATTCTAATGAAAAGAACAACAAAGACTTAAATTTGGGAAGAGAGCTTACCTGATACAGAGCTCTTTGTTTAATAGAAGTCATTAAGTAATTTTAGATTTTTCCTCCTGGTTTCCAATAATAAAGCAACACACCAAGGAGTGCTACTGATTTTACCATAACTTTCACAGTTACTTCTGTTATAAATGCATAGAACAGCTCCCTAGTTCCTGGTCAAAAGCCAGCCATCTTCTCTTATGTAATCCTACTTTCAAAGTAGCACAGTTAATTAGGCAGAGAATGTAACCTATTCATCATTTTAAAGCAAAAATCAGTACTTCCAATTCTTTATAGTGAACAGGAATGCTTGAGGCTTTCTTTGTGAAAAATAAACTCCGCCCACCAGTTTTCCAAGTTTCCAGTTAAACAAAAAAGCATACAATAGCATGCAAGAAATCAAACTTTGTGGGATGAATACTCAGTACAAATGTTTCACCCCGACAGCAGTGTAAAATACTACATAAAATTTAAATTGTTAACAGCCTTATCCTGTGGCAGATCCTAAGCCTTTGTTGGTTCTGTCTCTCCATCTCTCAAGAAGGAAAAAAACTTAGTTTTAAGAGTCCTGACTTGATAAAACACTAGTCTAGTGTGGATGGATCAATTATTTTTATTTCACAGGACAGAGGCATTAAGAATAGCTCATAGTGCAAAAAGATTTTCAATTTTCCGTAGCAGGCATGGTAGACTTCAGAGAATCCTGCTATAAACAAAGACCCTGATTCACAGAGCCACCGCAGTGATTTATCTCAGTCTTCCTCCCTTCTGGAACAGTGGGGATGCTGAAGCAAGCAAGTCCCTGCTGGGAGACTCTAGGGCTTGCCCAGTGGGCTGTGCTGGCAATGACTCTCTCCTTCCTGCCTTTCTCTGTAACACAGGACTTGTGGAAGCTCTTAAAAACATCTGCATCTCTCCTTGGGTCACCTTCTCAGTCAACCTTCCTTGGGGTCCCCAAAGCCCCTGAGGTAACTAGCAATGCTTGAGGCAAGGCATCCTAACAGGACAAAAAAAACCCCAAAACCAAACAAAACCACACTCCAGGGACAGTTTTCAATCTAAGAAACTTATCTGTCATCTCTTAAGCTTAGGAGGAGTCCTCAAATAGCAGAAAAATACTGATGGTTCAGTGCAGGGACTTACAGAAAGGTTTTTCACAGCTCTGCTATAGATTTGGAAAATCCATTTATCTTCTTGTAGAATCTTCTGCCATGTTGTGCTGACTTTGGCAAAACTGCAACAACAATACAAACACATCAGTTGCCTCCTAGGGAAGGGATTTATTAAGTAGCAAGAACAACCTTTTTCTTTTACGTAATCATAAAATATGTTCACAGTTGTAGTCTTTAATTTGCCTTTTAGGGAAAAGACACATTCTCCATATGTATCACAGCTTACATTGTCAGTTCATATTTTAATATATTAACACATAATACTAAACATTGAGTAAATGTCACATGCCCCATGTCTAAAACATTAAGGCATGTGATTAGGTTTTTTTCCTTTCTAGTGAAATACAATGACATGAACATACTTACTTTACTAAATCCATCTCGCTGAGATGTCTTAAAATGTTTGCTAATATATGCTTCAGGTTCTTTTGGAAGAGTTCAGCAAGAATGTCTATTCTATCCAGACCCATTTTCTTTCCAATTAAGTTACAAAGTTCAAATTTTCCCCTAGAAACAATTCTATCTACAGCAGCCCAAGACTGGAGATTTCTTTTACCACTTTTCTTCAAAGTTGAGCAAACCACTTCTTCATAATGGATTACTGGCAACAGTGTCTTCTTTGAAAACTGTTCTTGTTTTTGGTTCTTCATAAGACAAAGCTTTGGTGTACCACAGAGATTCCCAGCCAAAGGTAAACTATCCTCATGTTCTATTGCATCAGCATAGTGAGTGCTTAACATAGAGGAATAACCACTGTCCTCATTAAGTTTACTACTTTCCATTGCCTCCATTTCACAGATACCTTCATCAAGTCTCTGGGTTACTTGGTTGTTTTCTTTGTTATGTATGGGTCTTTCTGCATCTTCAATATCTAGATTTCTGGTGGCTGCATGGAACGAGTCACTAAGGAGTATTTTCTGATGTTCTTCTGCACAGCTTTTACAAAAGCCTTCCTCATAATTCAAGGGGCAGGATTTTTCCAGTCTTGTTTTCTCCACAGCACATTTCAATGGTGCAAACCCAGCACGAAGAGAATCAAAATCACGTTTCATTTTGCAAGAGCGGTTAAGGTTCGATTTCATTTTGTTGCTTGTATTCTGCAAGGTACAACAAGGGCAGATTGAAAACACGGCATAAACTAGATCACAAATTCTTTATCCTATGAAGACTCTACCATGCTTCCCTTCTGACTCACCCTTTTTATCTGACTCACCCTTTAGTATCTAAAATACAACTAATGGAACTAAGGATTTGAACAGCCACTGATTATACCTATGTAAGATCTTCCCAAAAACTAGTTTTATGCTGCATGTAACTAGGGAAAGAAAACCGGCTGAGTAATTTACTTGGCCACCATTTCACCAACATAGATGACACACCAGTGCTTCCACTTCCTACCATAAAGGTAGCAACACAGTCAAGACACTTGAGGTCCCTGCAAGGGACACCAGTGGCAGAGGGTCCTTGGGCGACTGCAGGCCTGTGCAGGCCAGAGAAGCCTGAAGTTTGCATTCAAGACTAGAAGAAATGCTGCTGCTGCAGCCAGATATCTGGCATTTTTGAGAAGGGAGGAGGCTGGGGGGCACAGGAAAGGCTTGAGTGCTCACATGTGTGAGTAAAATACAAAGGAAGCAGCCATACCTAAACAATGGTCAGTGAAACAAAGGTTTGAGCATGATTTAAAGAGGATAGGAGGTCGATAGATATCATAAGAGAATTGATACGCCTTTTTCTTGCCCTGCTCCATTCCCCTCCCCCGCGAAATGTGGTGCTATCTATATTAACAATTGCGGGGGGATGGGCGGGAGCTGAAGGGGAGAAGGAGGTCATCTTTCCCCAGTTAAATCTAAAGGGAAAATAAATTTCAGCATGCTTTGCAATCCATATGAAATAGAAGATTCCCGATTTGAGTAAGCATTTTAAAGGATTTAAGCACTTCCAGCAGTTTTGTAAAGAATAAAGAGAAAAATGTGTTTTGTGAATGACTTAGAGAAAAAGTTCCCTCTTTGTACCTAGGTTTGGTGCGAGAAAGGTGCAAATAGGCTTATGGCTTTGTATCGTGTGAGTTGGGGAAGAAATGCAAGCCCTCCCTAAGCCTCCCCCTCCTCCCCTTCCCTTCCCCCCGTCCATGCGAACGACCAGAGAGGCTTTTGGGCTGAAATCCTGATGATTTGGAAAATGTTCCAAAATCACATTTCGGTGCACTAGGGCCTGCCCCGACCCCCGGAGGAGCGGGCTCAGCCGCGGGGCCCCGCGGCACTGTCAGGCTTCTCCCGCCCCGCGCTCAAGATGGCCCGGCCGGGTCGGAGCAGGTAGACCGGGTTCCGGCTTCGCCGTGCCCCACGGCCCCGAGAACTTCACCCCGCGCCTTCGGGGGCCTCCTGCAATGGAGGATTTCCCCCAAAACGGTGGTGGCGGGGCCAACAGAATCGCGCCGGGGGGATGCTCTTCCGACGGCATGGCCGGCGGGCGGGAGACAGCGCGGCGCTTCCCCGCCCGCCGCTGCCCGCCGGCGGGAGCGGGGCTGCGACCCGCATCCCGGCCGGCCCCGGCCCCACCAGTGCGGCGAGCAGCCGGGACCACCCCACACGCGGCTCCTTGGCGGGATCGGGGCGCTCCCTGGCCGCCAAGGCGCCACCATCTCGTCCCATCCCATCCAGCCGGCGGGATAGCTGCGGGGCTAGGCTAGGAGAGCAATGAGACCGGGCAGCGGCCAGGAATCCCCCTCTCCACTCCAATCTCCGCCGCAGCACCGCTAGCATCCGCACGGTCCCGCCACCACGTACGCCGGCAGCTCCCGCCACCCCAGCCAAAGAGCCCTGACCGCGGAGCCCCGTCGCCCCCAAGCCGGTCCGAGAGCGCACCCCAGCCGCGAAGCCCCGGAGCGGCTCCCGATGGAGCGCGGCTCCCACCCCGCGCTCACCTGCAGGGCTGCGCCGGCGCCACCGCGGGCAGGGAGTAAGTCCCGCTCGCGCCGGGCGCTTTTTAAAAACTTTAAATTTGGTGTCCAAAACCGCGGCAGCCAATGGCGAGGCGCCGGAGTATCGGCCCCGGCCAATGGGCGGCGGGCAGGCGGCGGGGGCCAATGGGCGGCGCGGCGGGCGGGGCCGGGCCCGCCCCTCGCTTTCCCTCCTCGGGCGCCAGGGAGGGACGCGAGTGGCGCGGCCGCGGCTCCCGCGCTGGCCGCTCCCGCCCGCCCCTTCCTCCCGCGCTCGGCTCCGCACCGCTCCCGGTGCCGAAGGGACCTGCGGCTGCCGCGTCCCGGCTCTGACACGGGCCTGAGCGCAGCCTGGCGCCTAGCTACATCTGCGTCTGCTTGTTTAAATGGACGCGTCCGGGACCTCCACGTCGCCCCGGCACTCTCCGAACGTGCAAAGCTCCTCTACCGGGAAAGGATTCTCTCCCGCACTGGAGGTATTCAAGAACTGCCCGGATGCAATCCTGTGCCATGTGCTCTAGGATGACCAGGCTTAAGGAGGGATGTTGGACTGCATGACCCACTATGGTCCCTTCTAACGTGACTCATTCTGTAATTCAAGTCTGGCAGAGGATCTGGGCTACTCCCTATAAAAGAATTATATTTATTTGATATGACTAACACTACCAGTGTTTGCAGAGTGAGCAGGAGCACTACTGGGAGCTAGGCTGACTGGACACCAGTACAGGGATCCCCACCACTGCTGGAAAGGCAATCTGCTCACAGCTCAAGGAGATTGCATTTGCAGAGACAACATCCCTTGCATTAAAATTAATACAGAGCAAGTGGGGGACTCTTTACATAGTACAGCTTAACACGACAGGCCAAGGACAGTGAAATCCTCCTATGTACAGCACCACATACACCAGGTTTGGAATGCCTCTGCCAGCCTCCTGCCAGAGCTATGTGATGTCTGTTTTTTCTCACTGATCAGAGCCTTGGCATTCACAAGGCAACAACACATTCAGTGTTTGTTCAAGAGCCAGAAGAGACTAGGGAGGCAGGATGTGGCAAGACAGGTTACAGGCCGGAAGATTAGGGAAGGTCTAGGGTGACAAAGACCTAAACAATGATCTAAGTTTCATGCAGAATTCCAGTGTGCAGACCTGGTCAATGGCCCTTATTTGTTTAGAGGAACATGACACTGAACAGCAAACTCCATCTATCACTTGGCATAAGAAGGCCTGGCTTTAAGTCACGTCCATAGGACTATCACAAGTGCTCTCCAGTGTTCCACTTACCACACTGATCTGGTAAGGATGAAGACTTCAGTCCTAGTTTCTGCTCCAATAGGTATCTAATTATTTTACACAAAAATTGAGTCAATGTTTCTTTTAACATTTTTTATGTGCCAGTTTGGAGTTATAAAACTGCTAGTAAATACAGACCTAGGACTCATGCTTATCAAAAGGAAATATGTATGCCTCATCTTATGCACATAGACATTCCTTTATTTGAAGTTAATGAATGCATCTTAAATTAAAAGACTTGGAACTTAATCATAGTTACCATGCAGTGTTTACTAGAAAAAAAAAATGATAAAGGTATCAAATGTTGTAAAATGCTGTTAATTAAACAGACAGAACCAGTAAGCGCCAGTCATAGCACATAACTTTTCGAAAATCAGTAACTTGGACATTCCATTAAAACCATAAGGGAGACACTGAACTGAAGTCAACTGGATACTAAAATATCAGTCGAATAATATTGTAACAATTTCTTTTATTTTTGACTCAAGAACAGAAACATTTGTTCCAAAACCAATTCATATGATTTGTCACTTGGCTTCCATGGCTTTTTTTCCTCCAACAAGGGATATTCCTAAACTTGCTTTGTATTTATGAATAAAGGCCAGAAGGTCTTGAAAACATGACAGAGATACACTTTGATTCCCTTTCCCATGGTACATGTAAGTGATCAATAAATATGTGGATAGACAGAATGGGGTCATTTATTTATCACTTTTTTCCAATCACTCAAACAAAATAGGAAATTTTTTGTTCTCCCAAGTAAGCTATTTTACACTGTTGTGTGATGGTTAAGCCATAGTTTAAATGAAAACGGGAACTAGAAATAACTCCTTTTTTAATGCATGCATACCTTTTGAGAGTGGTGAATCAGTTCTCAGTAGAAGTTAAAAACTGCTGTTACTTCTGGTGCAGCCAAATAAACTTTTCAAAAGGCCTACTGCAGCAATAATGTCTTACATGAAGATAATAATGTCTTTTACTCAGCAAGTAAAAAAACTGTTTAATAGTCATGAGGAAACAAGTTGTGATGTTTTTCATGATCTGAAAAGAAGTTCTTTTTTCTGGGAGGTGCTCTGAGAAGCTTCTTTGCACACCAAGGTCTACGTCTGTTGTAATGGCCTGAATCATGTTCAGGAGGAATTATTTTTATCATTTTCTGAAATAATTTCCATTAGAGATTCATAATCAGCATATTCTCTCAGAGTTTGTATCATTTCATCTAGCATTTCTTCCCCTAGCATGAAAGACTCAACATGATGCACCGATCTGCTTATTCTGTGGTCTGTAATCCGGTCCTGTGGAAAGTTGTATGTTCTGATCTTCTCTGATCTTCCTTTAGTCCCAATCTGTTGAACAAGAAGAATCAGTTTACCATCATCCTAAACTAATGGTGAAATAGTGATTAGGCATATAATCACTATAATCATATAATGGTGAAATAGTGATTAGGCATATAAAGCAAAGGTTTCTCTTCCTCACATGACTATACAAAATTTGATAGCTACATAGTACTCACATCACTTCTACAGCTGCAGTAATTGTTCTCAAACACGTAAAAGAACAATTTTACTGCATCTTTTTCTAATACTATTCTGGTTCTTCATGCTGCAATCCAGTTTGTTTCACTGGATCTCTAGGATTTACCTACTTCTGAAATTTTAAGTCTGGCTAATATATAGCCTTTACTACTGCAGTAAAATGCAATGCTATTGTTCAGAGGGCTTGGGGACCCCACAATTTTGTTCTCCAGAGTGGCCTAGTGGAAGGCATCCCTTCCCATGGTAGGAGGGTTGGAGCTAGATTATTTTTAAGGTCCCTGCCAATCCAAACCATTCTGTGTATCTTTGATCTTTTTTGCCTCATTTAAGTCCTTCCTGGGCTCCTGCTGCTCTGTATTTCCATTTACTACTTGCTGTTCAACAAAGGTGTTACCCTAAAGACATATGATTGTACAGAATTAGATCACAACTAAATGAAACTTACTTGAATCTTTCGAGCATAGTTTCTCTTTTTGGTTTCTTCTTCTAGTTTGGCGTTGTATAGTTTAGCACACAGCATTTGCATAGCCTTCTCTTTGTTTCTAATTTGGGATCTTTCTTGCTGACATTCAGCCACAATCCCTGTCAAAAATATCGTGACATTTAGCATTTAAGATTAACACATACTAAAAGAGCTCTGCAATTTCTGGAAGATTTTTTTATATGTTATATTAGGCTGTTACATTTGGACTGGGAATGTAGAAGTCCAGGTTTATTAATGAGTAATGATACGTTTTGGGAGAGATGTGTAGGCTGAGTTGTACAGGTGCTTTAAACCATAAGACAAGAAATTTAATTCAGTGGAAATTTATTTCACCTGGACGACAGATGAATAATGAAATAAAAGATATGTGATGTGATCTGACTTATAAAAGACACCTTCATTACTCATAAATTTTGGCCACAGTTCCAGGAAACGTAGAATTTAAGGAACAGTAAAATACATAAGATAGTGAGTGCTTAGCATATGATCAGAATATAAAAAAGTGGGCACTATTTTATTTAAAAAAATAGAAGGGTGTGCTTTCTCATCTCAAGATACACAATTACAGATAAGACATGAAAAGCCCAAAAAAGGAGCAGGAAGAAGAAACACAGTACGAGCTAAGTTGTTATTTGGACTTATCAAGTAGCTCTGGTAATATTAGAGGATGATTTTATAAGATCACATAGTATTACTTTTTGAAAGACTTATTTATAAACAACATTTTGGATCACAGTGAAGGTCTATAAAAAGATTTAGGATGAGACAACTAGAAGAAGCAACAGGACAATTTTAAGGGAAGAGAGATCAGAGAAATGAAAAAGGGAAAGATGGAAGAGGAAAAACTCTGGAGCTAATGTGAGGTATAAACCCCCCCGTTAACTGTGTATAAGTGCAAAGAACTTGCAATACACTTTAAGATTTCTGTAACATACCCTAATAACTGCCATCAGCAAAACCAAAGATCTGGTTTTTAGTTTGCTGTGTTTTTATCCAAACATACAGGCAATGCAAAACATTTTTAATCTGGGGAATCTTTTTGTCACCATATAGTGAACAGAATTTTATCCTCCCACTGCTTGCCTTCTGCTTTACTAGAGTGATGCAGTAAGTGCAGAATGGATCGATGTTTTAAACAAATATAACAAAATGGGTGGCAAAAATCTGGATACATGAAGATAAAGAGGGCTTGGGATTACCCTGAAACCATGTAAAGTCTGATGAATGTTTGTAGTAGAGAAAAGGAAAAGTTAAAATGCAATGAAAGTCAAGAAGGCTGTTTGAATTACTCAGAGGGAAGTAAAAGGCTTAGGAATGGTAATAAAAAGCCCCCATGCAACAGCTAAAATCAGGTAGTGTTTGAGGGTGTATCTTATCCCTGCTATGTTTCCTAACCTGAGCCAGAGGGATGGGCCTCTTGATTATGTGTGTCATCTATGGGAAAGGAGCCAGCAGACGAATGGGAGCTGGCATTCTGAGTAGACTGACTCTGCAATTAAAAGTAATGTCTTAATATGAAAATAGCACAATTTCTCTTTTGGAGAATAGTCAAGAAAATTCAGATCATTAGATTTTAACCTACTCCATTTTTCGGTGTAATTTTCATTATCTGAAAGCTTAAATATAATTTTTTGATAGAAACTGATATGACTCCTTTTAGAGTGCCATGTTTAATAGCAAAATTATAGCTTATCTAATGAAGCCAGTAGTCTTCACTGTTAAAAACTGGAGTGGAGTAGTATAAATAGACATGAAAACTACATTAAAACTCTTCCCTACTGTTGCACAGGCTCGAAAATAAAACCATTGTTTCAAAAGAAATTCTGACAGCCGTTTTGGAATGTAGATCTTGTACTAGGGAAAGGATGAAGCAGCACCTGTTGGAATGTGAACTATCCGCACGGCACTATCGGTGGTATTGACATGCTGGCCTCCAGCTCCACTAGCTCGCTTTGTTTCTATCCGTAGATCTTTGGGACTAATTTGCAGCCTCATCTGTCATGGGAGACAGAAGAAGAGAAGAAAAGTATTTTATGTTGTTTCTATCTAGACAGATATAAAATATGCACAGTCAGTTTACTTTAGAAGGCACCTTCATGCAAGATCAAACTTCTGAACGCTTACGGGTACTAATTCAAATCCACTTGTAAACATATTAAGAAATCTTGGTAATCAGACTGGAATGCATCATGATGGAGACCCAGAAATCAGCCAAATAGTAACTTAATGCATAACCATTGCTTAGCACTAATTTTCCTCTCTTCTGAGAGCTCTGCATTCTCTTCCAGCAGAGTTAACCAATATTTGAGCTTGACTGGATGGTTTTTAAATGAAAAGGAATGGAACATTCCTTTTTTTGGCTTTGAAGTGGAGCAATAGTCTCTGTGAGAAAGGAGCAAGACAATTTCAAGGAAGTTCAGGAAGGAGTAACATTGTCAATCTGCTACGTCAACATGAAACTAAGATCAAAACAAAGCTTTCTCAGCCCATTGCTTTTAAGCAAGCAAATATAGCAAAACTGAATTATCATACATTTTAGAACAGGCAAGTGAGGATACTACAAAAATGGGAAAGAGGAAGTGCTAAAAGAAGTAATCTGTGAGCTTGGCAAAATGATTCAGTCTTTTGTTACTTTTCAGAAAATCTAGTTTTCCACAAAGTATGCAAGACTGTCACAGTGAATTTTCAAGTCATAGTTAAGTAAACTCTCAGTGACTTTACTGAAATTAGGATTATGAGAAAAGACAGAATTCTTTACTCCATCCTTGTGATAAAAATAAAATAACAAATATGACCTAATTTAAAATTAAAATTAAAAAAGTCATAATGTGAGAATATCAAGAGAGGCAGAAAACACTTGGTATCAAACACTGCTCCTGGTAAATTCTGTTATACTGAAATATAAATATTACCTCAGTGGGTTGGGGTAATATTGCAACAGTCATTGTGCTGGTGTGAATGCGTCCTTGTTTTTCTGTCTTTGGTACCCGCTGAACACGATGCACTCCTCCTTCAAACTTCATGTATTTGTAAGCCTCAACACCTGCAATACTGGCTACTGCATGTCTTAGGCCACCTTAAATAGAGAAGAAAAACACTTGTAAACCTTTAAGAACTGCTGGTACTATGCTGTTATACTCCAAACAGTATATTTACACACCACTGGCATTTGTTTCTTAAAGTGATGATTTTACCATTTAAACACTTGGGCGAAATTACACCAAAAATGCAAGAACCCTAAAGCCCTACATATTTACTCACACACTACCTCAAAAAGGAAAGGACTGTCAACTTCTCTTTTGTAGAGTGCCATTTAATTTTTTATATACACTTATATAATTTTTTTCTGGAGCAAACAGAACACAGGTTCCTGCACCTCTTACCAATACCTCCAGGCAAACACTTGACAGCAACATCCTACAAGCATTGAACAGCTTGGAATTTGGAAGACAAGCCCATAGAAATCATGGCTTTGGGACTGAGTTTGTTGCTCTACTACTTTACGATATTCTTGATCTTCCTTGTCTGCTGGTGTGCAGTATAAGTGAAGGATCAGAAATGAATATATCATTTATATACAATGAATGAATATATTTCACCCATATATAATATATTATAAATGAATATTTCACCCGTTTTTGTTTCTAATGCAGCTCAATTCCCAAATCCCATTCTCAGCACAGTGGATAATGTGCCAAGGGAATGACTGAAGACACAGGTGGCCTTGAAAGAGTATTGCTTTTCAAGCCTTGCACTATGAAACCGCAGCTGAGGAAAAGAAGAGGCACACACTTCTCAGAAATACTGGTTTAAGCTATCTCTCAGACTAAGAACTCAACC